ACAGTCACGTTACAAAGAGAGGTAGTGGTTCTGGCTCTGCTTACCCTTCTAGAAAAGCAAATTGACAATATCAAAGTTAAAAAAAACAAAACAAAACAAAACAACAACAACAACAACAATAACAAAACCCAAAAGGATTCATTTTACCCTATCATCATGGCAATACAGAAATGCTGGCAAAAAACAGCTAAAGATATTTCTCCCCAGTTACTCAGTTTTATCTGATGTCAATTATAACACTACTATTGTAAGATATGACACATTCAACTCATTTGCAAAGCTGGCTCTTTGAGCAGCCATCTACCATGTGGCCACAGACTCTGACAACAGTACTTTATGGAACACTCAGAGAGAAATGAGCACTCTAAGAAATGCTAACTCAAGTAAGGTTTATTAATATTTCTAGTGAAGCCTCAGCAAAAAGGAGTTCCTGATCAGCGTCAGACTCTGACCTAGAATCCAAGATGACATCCATGAACTCATGTCCCCTGGTGCACATCCTCAAGCTCAGGGCCCGCTGCAGGACCTGTACGGCACTCCCCATCCACGACCCCCCAACATGCCTGAGCCCTCATAGTGTCTCACTTAGAATCAGTAACCCTGATTTCAAAAGTACAGAGGCCACAGCAATAAGAAATTATCAGTAACATTGTTAAGTACCACCATAAGGCTCAGGACTTGCCCAGAATTAAAATATGGCAACAGAAGACTATAAACATATCACTGTCTTTCTTTTGCTACTATCTTGATGGAATAAAAGAAACAACTAAGAAGCATGAAAATAGATCAATTCAAATACCAATTCATTAAATATACCTGTTTGGATTTTTTTTTTAACTATTTGGTATTGGTTGATTAGTTTGTATTTTGTCTTCATAAGAGCATTTTAAAGAGTGTTCAGTCTCTCTGTTTCTGTTCTCTGCTGTAACAGTTGGAGACTGGGGTGCAGAGAGAAGGATACAAGAAGGGTATATTTTAAACTCCTATAAAATACATTCTGGGGTGCCTGGGTGGCTCAGTGGGTTAAAGCCTCTGCCTTCGGCTCAGGTCATGATCCAAGAGTCCTGGGATCGAGCCCCACATTGGGCTCTCTGCTCAGCAGGGAGTCTGCTTCCTCTCTCTCTCTCTGCCTGCCTCTCTACTTGTGATCTCTGTCAAATAAATAAAATTTAAAAAAAAAAATACATTCTTCTCAATTACACACTAAGAGGAATTGTTCATATTTAAGAATAATCCAAAAAACATATTTTGTTTCTTCCTTCTTTCCCTGTATACCCTTACTTTTCCATTTGTTTCTATATAGACCTGAAACATAAAGTCACCATTCCTTACAATGCTATTATGAGGACAAAACTCAATTGTTTTGCTTAGAGTTAAAATCAAATAAACAGACAAGCAAATAATAAAAAAAAAAACACAAATGAGACAAACTGGCCATTCAGTAACAGGTTCTCAGCAAACAGACAAGGACAAGAGCTACTGCAACCTGGAGATCCATGCTTATGCAAGCATCCCTGAGCCATGTTCCATCTTGTGACTTAAAGAGGTGGGCCATCGCTCTCCTTGTTTAAGGACATGACTGATTCTACGGGATAACAATTTATGTCACACAACAATGAAGTCCTGTTAACCATCTCTCAGTCTGAAACATCAGACTTCTGAATCCCAGAGTGTTGACACTATCAGTTCAAGTAGCACTGGAGCAGTGTACTTGTGTAGGCTGAGCACACACAGTATTCTTAGGAAAGGCTGTTACCTGAGCAGAAAGAAGAGGCACCTACACAGGAGTTCAATATCAGAGCCCAGCTGGATGAATTCATTGAAGAGCTTAAGGATGTCTGGGACGTAAGAAAAAGGTAGCACAAGCAGAGACTCTTCCAGCTCACTGAAGAAGAAGGGAATAAACATTAAAAATGCCACATTACTCAACACATTCAGTGTTTAAATCTTTTACTATTTTTCCCTCCCGCTTTTATATTTGAACAGACCTTACCCACTTAGGGTTGAATTAATTATTCATCTATATTCTGGATGGTTCCTTCTTTTTAATATTTTATTTTTATATTTAATATTTTAATCTATTTGATGCATTCTGGTCCGTGGCATGCTAGGACACTTTTTTTTTTTTTTTGAGAAATAACTAATTTCTCCCAAGTCTATTGTTGAATATTCCACCTTTATATGATACTTCTTTCTGCCATACATTGAGACATAGGAGATTCTGCTTCAGGGCTTTCAAGTCTGTTTAATGATTGAGTCTGACAATAATCCTGTAATATTTTAGTTTTGCTAATGTCACAGCTTTTTAATCTAGCTTTTTAATCTTCTGGCTTGTTTTGTTTTACTTTTCTTGAACTAGTTCTAGGATCATTTCATCAACTCCAATTCTAAATCTCAAGAGGATTTCAACTGCACTCACAAACCTATAACTAGTTTAAAAAAACAAAACAAAACAAAAAACCTCCTAAATCTTTAGAACACAGAATCTTCCCTTCTAGGAATGCACAACACTTCCATTAATTTAAATTTTGTTTTACATTTCTCCAGGGAAGTTTCAGATCCTCAGACAGGTCTGTTTATTTCTTGTTGTAAGGGACATATTTAGATATTAAGAGTTTTGATGAAAATAACTTTCAGAACATTAAACTCATAAATAAAATCCAAAGGTAAAATCACAAACAAGAAACATTATCTTAAAAATATATGACAAAAGACACAAAGAATTCTTAAAATCCATTAAGAAACTACTGAAGAGTATAAGAAAGGGCAAATAACTAAAAATTCACAGAAAAAAACCACAAATGGCCTACAAATATAAATCTGTTAATAACTGAAAGAAATTAAAATAATACAATACCACCTTTTGCCTCCAAAACTGGCAAAGAATTTTTTAAAGCCTGGTCAAAATCACTATAAGCTTTCTGGAAAGTAATTCAGCAACACAGACCTTTCAAAAGCTCATGCCGACTGATCAGTTATTGTTAGAAGGCTACAACAAAGATTCCTATGGTGTTCACCGAGGCAATACTGATCAAAAGCAAAAAAATTAAAGCAAATCCAATAATAATTATCCATACGATGGAATGTTTTGACATAATTCAACGAATATTTTTGAAGAATATTAGTAACTTGAGCAAATGCTCAGGAAGTATTTCATGAAAAAGGAAAGGACATAAAATTAAATACATAGGATTTCAATTGTGTATATACACAGGAAATAAGCCAAAGCAAATACACAACCAAAAAAGGTTACCAGGTGGTACTTGTGACTGATAATAGATGATTTCATTACCTACAATATAAAATAGGACTTCATTTGTCTCTAAAAGTATCTCCTTTCATACTTTACGAGGAGCCTCCTAGTTCTGCTTCAGAAAGGACAGTATAATATACTATTTTCCACCAAAATGTGGACATAATTAAACCTAGAAGAAAATAACCATGAATTATAATTTCTGTTTATTTCATGGTCAGAGAGGCATTCAATAAATGCTGTTAGTTGTTATAATTATAGTCATTGTACATTGGAACTCACCTCGACTTGATTCCTTTAAAGATCTCCAACACATAAGCTGAAGGCTATGAAGGAAGCACAACAGCCTTAGCAATACTCTAGGTTGGTTTCTACTGAAGTTCCCTAATTCCCCTCTAAAAACCATGGATCCCATTCATAGGAGAAACAATGCACTAAGATGGCAATACATGCCCGGGCTTAGAGTTTGTCCCATGTGGGTTCATCGTCCAGCTCCGCCACTTCCCAACTCTGTTCCTTTCTATGCATGAGTCAGGCCAATTGCCCATCTGTAAAATGAGGCCACACTGACTCACATGATGACCATGATGAATGAGACGTGCAAGTTAAGTACTAAGTAACTGGAGACTGCTACGTAAGCATACATTTCTCTCTTTCTCCTCCTTTATCTGATTTATATCAACTTTTCCTCCAAAAATCTCAATTTCAAAGTTCATTTAGATGAAGAGAATCTTCAGATGGCTCTGGATACTGAATGTAAATAAGCACTAGAAAATACGAGAATGCGGGATGCCTGGGTGGCTCAGTTGGTTAAGTGCCTGCCTTTGACTCAGGTCATGATCCCAGGGTCCTGGCACTGAGTCCCACATCAGGCTCCCTGCTCAGCAGGGAGCCTGCTTCTCCCTCTACCTGCTGCTTCCCCTGCTTGTGCTCTCATGCTCTCCTGACAAATAAATATAAATCTTTAAAAAAAAAAAAAAGAAAGAAAATAGGAGAATGCCAGTCCAATGCAACCAAAATGGGTGACTTAGAAGTTACAGTAAAACACTCCTTTTAAAACACTCAATACCCTGGAGAGAATGTTAATGGTGAAGTATTTCCCAATACATCCAGCCTCAAATCATGCCTCTGTACTTCCTACTGTCCCTTTCTTGTCCCTGAAAGTAACCTCTGAGTAACCAAGAGGAAACTGGTAGACATTTTACTCACAGAGATATTGCCATAAGCCATCAGGATGGGGTTAATGGGAAGAGGAACCTGTGAAGAAATGATTAGATCAAGTCATTATAAAAACAAGAATTTGATAGTGCTTGTCACAGGCAGGGTGACAACAGTACAGTTTTTAAAGAATATACAAGAATAATCAGGCCTTTCAGTTTCCAGAGTGCTAATGAGTTTAGGAAATAGAATTCATTTGGAAATCTGTGAGGGTTGTGGTGTGTCGGAAACCACGGCAGGAGCAGTTTCTGCTCCACGCATTGAGCACCTCAGTCTGTGATTTCTGCCCCCTCGCTTTTTATTAAGACCCAGCTCCCCTCCTCCCAGTCCCTCAACTCCTTTCTACTATTTGAATTAGAGAAGACTATTACATTTATGTCATTTCCTGATCCGAGTCAGTAACTCCCACAGCGATGGTGTTCATCTCAGGAATTCCATGGACACATGTTTCTCAGGGTGTAACTCACAGACTATCTTACCTCTTTCCCTGCAGCTTTACAAATGGCTTTGTGTTCCTTCCTTTTTGCAGTCTCCTCTCGATATAGCTCGATAGCCTCCATGATCCTCTCAGCCTACGGAGATGGCGACAAAGGAGAGAAGTTATCACCATGCCCCTCCACTCCGCCAGCATCCCGGAATGCTGCAACTGAAAGGCCTGACTAGAAAAGTACCAACTAGCTTGAATCAGTTTAATAAATTAGTGCTAAGAGTGCAGAACAACATGTGACAACATCTCTGGTGTTTCTTCTTTTTAATTTACAGAGAGAAGATGAGGTGTTTTGGGTTCAGGTAAAGCTGTACGGATATACACATGTGGAGTAGGGCAGCCTCCAGGACCCCTGAGAGGTGCTGCTTCCAGGAGATCGAGCTTTCCTTTCTAGAAACCATGTGCTGACTCAGCATGACTCCTGTCCTTGTTAAAAGGGAGGACAACAATGTTCTGAGCTCCATCTATGAATTTCATCAACTTTTTGCCTCAAAAGGGCTACCTGGTTGTTAAAAACTTTCACTCGAAAGTTGGGATCCTCCCTAAAAATGCATATATCCACAGATATAGAGACAGAATGTATATTGACTTACTGCTTTAACGGTTTCAATAGTTTTCTTTCCAGTAAAGTAATTGTCACCTTGAGTCTCTCCTGGAACCTGCCAGAAACAAAGAGATCCTTTAAAAATATTGACAGGCACTAAAGAACCAGTAAATGAATCCTATATCCAGAAAAGAACAGGCATCACTGTGTTATGATAACAGAGTACTTACACAATTAATGGAGTACTTAGTAAGTGCCAGATACTATTAACCAGATAATATTAACTATTAATGGAATTTTATATCCATTATCATAAGAATATCCTACTCTCTAAAAGTATAAAGAAAATGCCCAATTTCTAAAATTTTTTGATTTTTATTTTTGTTCTATGATTCTCTGAAGCCTCCTTAATAACAACAACAACAAAAAGCCAAAATGACAAACACCCAATACCAAATCTGGTCAGTCATTTGTCCCACAAAATCAGGATACACAACTGAATCAAACATGACTACACAGCTTTCCACACCAGCTGGTGATGACTTGGGCATCTGGCTCCAATCCTAATTCTATCAGAAATTCTTGAAATTAAAGTAAATTCCAACAAGATAATTACAATCTCAGGGTCCCCCAAAATTTACTTACTACAGGTTGGTCTTCTTTGGCTACACTCTCCTCATATTCTGCTTCCCTTTGCTGCAAAAGACATATATAAATTAATCTAGAAGAACAACCATGGTCTCCACACGAAGTGAAAGGAGACAGTGAAAAGTTGCTTCTTTCAAAACGCAATCCCCTAGAGGCACTTCTGTGTCTGTGTGCCTGCTGAGACGGCTGATGGTGGTATTGGAAACCTCTTCTGGGGGTGCCTGGATGTGCACTGGCTGAGGGGTGGCCACACTAAACAGAACTAGACATCCAACCACCAGCACATTCTGTAACCAAGCCTGAGTCCTTACCATTTCCCTTTCCTCTTCAAGAATAAGAGGCTCCCTTGTTCTTTCCCAAAGTCTCAAAGATTTGTCATGCGACGATGACACAACATAGTCTCCACTGGGGCTTACGGCCAAGCACCAAATTTCCTGGTGGTGTCCCTGGAGAGAGAAGACACAAAAACAGAAACCCTGAGACGGAACACTTTATTCCTTGACCAAAACCTGCTCTACCTGAGTGGCAGAACATCACTCGATCTTAAAAGTTCTGAAGTACTGAGCAAGCAAAGAAGGCCAGAGGTCACCTCCAGAGTCTGTATGTGTTCAAATTTGTCCGCATCCCACTGCTTAATCTTATGGTCCTTCCCAGCGGTGAAAAAGAGGTGGGACTTGGGCACAAACTGTAGGTACATCACACTGAAAAGTGAGAAAAGTGATCAAATGCCATCAAATTCCACGTTAGTGAAGAGCCTCGCACACAGTTTTAAAAAGGTAGTTCTAGCATGCCTGGTTATTTGTATTTTAGAATTTTAAATTTCTGACTGAATAGACACAGACGCTCAGGGGAAATGATACGTACAGGACTTAAAAGGACGTCTTTGAAAAGACTGCACCTACCTGTCATCGTGTGCAAAGAGAGACTTGTGGCAGTCCCCAAAATCCAAACCCCAGATTTTCACATTCCTGTCAGCAGAGCCCGTTGCTATTAGTGCTCCATCCTACAAGTAAGAAAAGGGAACCATTACTTGACCTGATTATCAGAAACTCTACAGTTAGATAAAGAAAGACTAACCCTTTTCTTTCAGAAACATTAAAATCAATATAAATTTCATCTCTATGAAGAGCACCTATTTCTTTGCTTTTATCTAAGATTTCCTTAAAAAGTTTGTTGAGCAAAAGCAAGAACTCTTGTGGCTCCCAAGTTTTCGTATTGCTATAGGGCAGTACTATGCCTTGGTGTCTGTTACCTATTTACTTCCTAAAGTAGGGAGAAGAACAGCTCATCTCTGTCACAGGATTTTGGGGAAGAGGTAAAAGGGAGAAAAGAAGAGTCTGGGAAAGAATCTACTAGAATATTTGTTACCCAGCCTTTTATCCCACGTTCTATTATCTTTCTAATGTCAATGCCTCATTCAAATAGTTGTCAGTGTAACAAGACCACTGGAACTATCTCACGCTGCCTACTTACTGTTAATGTATTGGTCAAAGATGGCAGTCCTTTCATACAGGCCAGACGCTGTCTCTAAATACATTACTCCCACCCAGGGGTGCCCAGGTGGCTGTCATTAAGCGTCTGCCTTTGGCTCAGGTCATGATCCCAGGGTCGTGGGATCGAGCCCCGCTTAGGACTCTCTGCTCCACAGGAAGCATGCTTCTCCCTCTCCCACTCCCCTGGCTTGTGTTCCCTCTCTCGCTATGTCTCTGTCAAATAAATAAATAAAATCTTTAAAAAAAAAAAATACATTACTCCCACTCTTATCCGTAACTCAACACTGCAAAAAATATGATTTTGGTCAATAGACTAACAGTACAGATGTGGTGCAAAATACTGTAAATGTCCAAATACAAAGCCAAGCCAAGTTCCATCTTCTTCACTGAAATTATCTTTCAGAAGAAAGGGGGATGGCTTTTTTAAAGTGTTTTGTATTTTAGGGTGCTCTACCAATTATGGTGTTTTAGACAACAAAATACCATCTGGGGAATCCACAACAGGAAGTTAGTTGTAAGGATTAACTCAGATATTTGTGTACATATCCTGGTAGCACTAAAGTAATAGACACACACACACACACACACACAGAACACATGAGATACACTTACAATATACATTATTTAATGGATTTTTGGGAGAAAGATATACAACAGGATGAAAAAAATACTCTAAAATGAAGATAGCTAGCCAAGAATGAAGAAGGTGCTTTGGAAAAGACAGCTTGTTACTAAGACACTTTAAATTTTACTTACATAAGAGATGTCCATGCATATAACAGGCAGTTTGTGTCCATAGAGTGAAAGAAAGAACTATTAAAAAAAAAAAAAGAATGTAAATAATTCACGTCTGTGTACAAGATACAGGCATGGTTTGTTACATGTGGATCTAAAATAGAACTTTAAGATACAATCCTAAACACTGCCATGGATTGCTTTCTATTTGTATTTTCAAAGAAGACAAGCCACCAAAGGCAGCTCATAGCCATGACACTTTGCAACAGCGAAGACTCTTGGCACCTGCTTCCCAACAATGTTCCCAGGCCTACTGCAGTCCTCCGGACTCTGGGCCTAGGGCCCAGTAATCTACAATTTTTAAAAGCAACCCAAATGATCCTGGTGTCCAGCCAAGTGCGTAATCACTGCCCAGGAGACGCAGTAATGTTCTTCCACTCCTGGCTGCCACAGGATGTTCTGTCTACACATTTTCTGAGCTTATGAAATACAACTTGCTTTAAGCAAAATTTATGAGCCAAAGGGTTCTTTAAAAAAGTCTTGCTTTCCTAGTGCACCTACAATGTTTTGATTCACACATACATCTTTAGAAATATAGCACGGCTAGGCACAGTCAAGGCCACTTTCCAATCTCAACCCATAGTCAGTGAGAAAGACAGAAACTATTTCCAGGCATAATAACTGTACCTTTAAAGTGTCAACATAGAAAATTTTTACAGTACAGTCCAGCAAAGACACAGCCAACAGCTTTTGGTTGGGAGAGTAACGGACACACAGAACGTCTTCATCTAGTTGCAAGGTTCGGGTTTGCTTCACAGAAAGTCTAGCACGATGGAAAGCATGAAGAAAAAAAGAAATAAATGAGTGCTCTACAAAGGCTGATAGAAATTCCAAAAATTCCCTGGAGCGAAATACACATGTCGAAAGCCCCTTCAGTGGTTCCCCATTCTCATTCCAAAAAAAGGACAGAAATTTAAAAATGTCTACTCACCTCTTCTGGGTACTATTTTCATCTTTTACCAACTCAAAATCCCAGAACTTGACAGATTTATCTGCACCACCTGTCACAAAGCCACGCTGAAAAGCCAATGACATTACAATTAAAAAATATTTTATTACAGAAACTTGGGTAAGAAGTTATATATCAAAATTGTTTTTAAAAGCCCATTTTTATTTAATAGCATGGGAGAATAATTTAGAAAAATGTGGTTCCTTCCTAACCCCTTTCATTGCTCTTTTGGGGCTGCTGCCACAGACCTAGCAGGGGCTAATGTAGACAGATGGTAACTAGTGTAAAGTTCTAGTTATACTTTTGTTCAGCATCAGAAAGACTCTGAACATTGTAGGGTTTCTTGCTCCACCCAAGAAAGCACCAATCAAAAGAATTTGCTATTAATTAACAAATTATATAAATCACATATATATATTTATATAAATATATACTTATATAAAAATACATAAATTAATTAATAAAATGGTTTGACAAATATACACAGACTGGAATATCAAAATAGGTTTATTCAAGTATTTACCTCAGAAAAGTATAAATTTATCCTGCAATGTCCCTGCTTAAAATATGTTTGAAACCGTTTCCAACATCAAGAAAATTAGTCAATACAATACAACATAGTATTAAAGTATAGA